GTTGTATCGTAATGATGCAACTGAGTCATTACAGCGGCCACCAAACATGACAGACATTGCTTTGATACCAAGTTCCTCTAAGTAGTTACTTTGGCTGATTTAGTAGAAGGAAAGTACTAGCACAGGATTCCAAAGTGAGGTTGCATTTCACAAGCTTCTGGAAGACTGCTTTCTTTCCTTTAAGAATATCCGGGAAGTTGAATCGCAATTGGTGTAGGCATCCAGAAAAAGTAGTTGTGAGCACAGATCCCGTACCCAGGTCCAATTTCAACTGCTAACAGTTCTACACCTTCGGAGCCTTGGCTGTCGATTGTAAGAGTGGAATTATAGTTCCCTGCTATCTGTTCCAAGGATTATGCGAAGTCCAGTTCCTTTCGTCAGGGTACCGATTGATTTCAGCAAAATCATGAAGGTCTGGAAGCAACCTAATTGCAAGTCAATCCCTTTCAGTGGGCTATTCAGCTCAACAGCCTTCCAATATGCTGTTTTGATAATTTCGTTCAAAAGGAAAGCCAAAACTACGAATCTGGGAGAGATTTTGAAAGTACAAATTGTACCTGCAAACCATAATTGCTGCTTTGCTTTGCTGTTTCAACAGTTCCTGGTAGTTAAAAAAAGGGGGGAACTTGACGTAGCAGAGGTGATGAGCTTTGAGCTCGGTCCGTTCCTACCTGCACTTTTCGAGGCTAGGAATGTCATTCGGAAGGCTAAGAAGCCTCAGCTAGCTCATGTTACAACCGATCATGCAAGTAAAGTGTCGGGTGAAGCCGTGAAAGAAAACAGACCAGTATGTCCTTGATGGTGGTTTCTTGGTGCATCGGAAACCGTGGAAGACAGGAGACAGCTTTGGCAGAATAGCACGATCATATCCTGATTTCCCAACCCCCCCCCCCCACTATATGGTTCTGCAAATGTAGTTTTTGACGGCTATGGTGGAGGGCCGTCAATTAATGATAATACACACCAGCGAGGTAGGCAGAATGCCCATCCAGTTGTCAGATTCAATGTAGACACAGTATTCTCAGGCAAGAAGGATGAGTTTTTATCAAAAGACTGCAATAAGCAGGGACTCATGAATCTCATTAGTGAGGAACTGAGGAAGGGTAATTGCACCGTCAGCAATGTATCCGGGGATGCAGATGTCTTATTCTTCAGTCAGGTGGCGCTAGCTGCGCTGCTGTGGCCATCACAAGTTTACGCCATCCTTCTCTGTCAGCTGTTGCTCTCGTTGCCTCTGACAGCGTTTTCCCTGCAGATGCAGATGTACATATTGCTAAAGCTGCAGTGAATTCTTTTCGTCGTCAGTCTACTACTCTGATTTGAGAAGGCACTGACCTATTGGTGTTACGCTTGCATTACGCGGATGAAGATAGCAGAGAACTATACTTCCACTCTTATAATGGAGCAATGCAAGGCTCCGAAGGTGTATAACATTAATCACTTCGTTGAAAGTGGACCTGGGTAAAGATCTATGCTCACAACTACTTTTTCGACATGCCTACACTGGTTGCGATTCGACTTCCAGGATATTCGGAATCGGAAAGAGAGCAGTCTTCCAGAAGCTTGTGAAATACAGCCCCACATAAGAATCCAGTGCTAGTACATTCCTTCTTCCAATTAAGTCAGCCACAGGAACTAATTGAGGAACTTGGTATCAAAGCAATGTCTTTCATGTTTGGTTGCTGCTGTAGCTGAAATGACTCAGTTGCAACATTACGATACAACTTGCTTGTCAAGAAAATTGCCAGTGCGACTCCCTCCTACGTCAGCCTCCGCCAAATTCCACTCCCTCAGAACATACTACCAAGTCATGGCGTGGATGGAGAGTGAATTATAAGACATGGACGTCACATACTGGGGCTGGAAATTAGAGGACAATAATGTTGAATACGGAGGCTGTACCGAGTAATCTTCTTGATAAGTTGATTCATTGCAGCTCCTGTACTGCTTGTGGCACACCTTGCTGTACCCGCATATGTTACGGACTACCATGTAACAGTGTGTGTGTAGACCTTGCCAACTTGATGAATGCCGCAATCTATATAACGAGTCACTTGATAGTGAAGCAGAAGATGATTTTTCCTTACTAAAGTACATTCCTCATCAAAATGAAGGAACATGAAGATCTGCATGTGTATTCGCTATAGTATAAGATGACATGAACAACACGAGGTTTTAAACATTTTTAATTGTATGGTAGGTATTATAAATGTGTGTCTAGATAATAGTTGTTACTTTGTCTTTGTCACTCCCCCCTCCCTCGGTCACTCTCTCAGTGTTGACAATGACCTGTCAAAAATTGAATTGACCCTCTTGCTGGGGGGGGGGGGGGTAGTGGGGTCGATGACACCATAAGGGTGAGAGAAACATTATAAGTTCATTTCCTGTTTATAAAGTGCGCCCTCTATTGAGAAATATTAGTGGTTTTGGGGCCCTTTGGACGCCATATTGGATTTCGTGGTTCCCTGAACCACTGCTTAACGTTCTAACTTATCCTAATGGATTCTATGACCTCGAAAACCATAGCATAGACACCCCAATTATGTCTCTCGGATGGATAATAAGTGACTTAAGGCCATTTTTATGTTATGGCGGCCATTTTGGACGCCATCTTGGATTTGGGGGTTTCCTAGACCATTACAAACCATTCTTACTTGTCTCAATGGATTCTCTGACCCCCAAAACCATGGGATAGACACTAAAATTATGTCTCTAGGATGGATAATAAGTGATTTATGGCCATTTCTAGGTATCGGCGGCCATCTTGGACGCCATCTTGAAAATAACAGCTTTCTGAACCTTCGATTTTGGTCGACTTTTAGTATGTTATTCCTGAGGTCGAATACTACTAGAAACCGTTGAAAAACCTTTTGTTGCAATTTTTTGGGGGTCAAACCCTATCTTGACCTGACTAGTAAGATTAAACACAATGAGTATTCATAACTTCTCGTTGGTGTTCACAGATCTACACTGATTCTAATTTCTCCAAGGTGGCATCACAAGACCTGGACTAGCAGGTTGTCCTCTACAACACATTGCTCAAACAAGTAGTTTCTCTTTCGAAGTACAACAGGTTCAGAATTGGAATTGCTAGATGAAATTATAACCCCCCTCCCCCCATAGACCTAATCGTCAAGATGTTTGGGTGATTAATATTCTTAGGAATAGTTTTGAAGTCTACACCCCCATCAAATTTTGTTGGCTTGTGACTGGTCACTCATGACGGAACTTGAACCTGATTGGTTGAATCTTTCACTTTCTATTAGCCGGAAGGACCAGGTAACAAAACTATGTTTCTTCTTGGAAATATTTGACCGGTAGATACATACTTTTCTCCCCATTCATCCTTTCTTTCACCTTTTGCTTCCTTTTCAGAGATAATCTCAACAAGTCTTACTCAAGACTACTGTAAATTTTGACCAGAATCTTACTTTTCATTATAACTTGGAAAACTTCTACCAGAAGTTTCGTTCTTCTTTCCCGTGAAATTTATCTTTGATTTTGGAGTGTTCTATCTCAAGACAATTCTACCTACAAAGAACATAATTATGTAAGTGTACATAACATATTTATACATCATAATCATAAACCTGTATACAAACAAATTACATAATCTCTATGCGATACGAAATGTGGTTACAAAAATAAAAATGCATTTTGCATGGCATACAATAAATAGTACTCTATTCAAAATCATCTCTTGACACCCATTGTGGAATGTAATTTTTTCTTTGTAATGACGTGTGGTACTTGTGTTTTCATAGCAGGTATGGTGCCTCTGTCGATATGTCTCTCTCCGCAAGACTATGATAACGGAGTTATCATATGTGTGTTAGAGGAAAGAAGGTCGAGGAAAAATATTTACAGGAGAACTTTAAGATATCCAATGTTATGGGCCTGAAGGTGTGAGTTTGTAGGGGTTTGTTGACTCCTAGATTTAATACTACACCCCCCCCCCCCTCCAAAAAAAATACAAAAAAATAATGAAAGATAGAAATACAATGTCTGGCCTCGCTGTTTCTTTATCATAGGCGTTATCATAGCATACCACGACATTACAAAGAAAATGAATATCACACAATCATTTGCAAATATACGTAACAAACGATATAGACGTCGAAAAAAAGGATAGGTGATAATGAGTCGTGTTCACACGCTGGCAATTTGGATCGGCTTAAAGGTCGTGTTAGAGCTGGTCGGCGTAAGTATGGTATGGTCGGCGTAAAGGTCGGGGTAGTGACCGTCTGAACGATAGTCGTGTTAGTTACGCCGAACTTTACGCCGACTGATTTACACCTGGACTTTTCCACGGAGTAACCGCGATAACACGACTAGAGGGTGGCGTAAGGTGACCATGTGGACAGGCACGTAGCCAGAGTTTGATGTTTGGGGGGGGGGGGGGGGGGGGGGGCACATACATCTAATCGATTGAGTTTTAAAAAAAAAAGGGTCTTAAAAGTTCAACCGATCTTAGAATTTTTTTTTTTTTTTGGGGGGGGGGCACGTGCCCCCCCCCCCCCTTGGCTACGTGCCTGCATGTGGATGCTCTCACTTGGGACTCTGAGTATCTTTGACCTTTTGCAAGGGTTGTATGACCTAACATTTAAAACATCCGGGGTCAAACCTACAGTGTTTACCACATGCGAGTTTGCCTGTAGAGTGATTTTCATGGTTTAGGGATGTTTGTTTACAACGCGAAAATGAAAATTAGATTTCGCACGGTTTACTTCTTCTTCTTCTTCTTCTTCTTCTTCTTCAAGATAATCTGCCTTCTTCAATACTGAAGATTCTTGCAGATGCCGTATATACTTGGCCTGGTTGGGGTGTGCAGTTGGACCAATACACCGGGGTTTCCCCCTACTCTTATACGAATAGTGAATGGGTTTAGATGCGGAAGCTGGGTTGAAGTCGACTAGTGCGGATGCCACCACTTCCGGAAGTTACGCAGAGTAAGACTAGGTCAATGGAAGGTCGTGTTAACTTAACCGTGGCAAATTTATGGAATGCTTATTGCTGCAGGGGAAAACTTACGCCGACTAAATTCAATCAGTAATATTCAGCAAAAGACAAGATAAGGATTGAACTTATGAATCCTATTTTAGTTACCTATAATAGAAAAGATAGCTATTATGGCATCTCTAAAGGAATACAACCCCTCCCCTTTAGAGAATGGAAGAGTCCTGGAAGGAGAAACCAGGAAGAGAGTGCCGGTGATGGCATGTCATGTGTCAGTTCACATGCTGACACCAATTTCACCACAAGCAACTGTTTTCTTCTCTTTTTATTATTCTAGGTGAGCTAATTCCCGTTTCTATTTTATATCAGATTATTAGCTGTACATGTAATGTTATAATGATTGGTTTGTACCACTCTCTTGATACTATTATATTCCATTTTAGGAATAAATGGACTGTTAGGAATGAGATATGTACACAACGTTGTGACTGCGAATGTGTATCCAAAGAGTTGCATGAGTGTGTTTATGCCGATTCGCTTAATTGTTTAGATACATATATCGCCGGTCAGGGGCGTACGCAGGATTTTTTCAAGGGGGGGGTTTTAAAATATTTTGCTCCCGAAAATTTGAAAATCGCGCAGGCCGAAAAGTCGCTCAGTGGGGGGGGGGGGGAGGGGGGGAGGGGGGGGGGAGGGGGGGAGGGGGGGAGGGGGGGGGGGGGTAAGCGGACACTTTTTTTTTTTTTTTGGAGGTAAAAAAAAATCGCCACGACTCAGCCAGCCGAAAAGTCGCTCAGTGGGGGGGGGGGGGGGGGGGGGAGGGGGGGGGGAGGGGGGGGAGGGGGGGGGGAGGGGGGGGGGGGTAAGCGGACACTTTTTTTTTTTTTTGGAGGTAAAAAAAAATCACAACGACTCAGCCAGCCGAAAAGTCGCTCAGTGGGGGGGGGGGGGGGGGGGGGGGGGGTAAGCGGACACTTTTTTTTTTTTTTTTTGGAGGTCAAAAAAAATCGCAACGACTCAGCCAGCCGAAAAGTCGCTCAGTGGGGGGGGGGGGGGGGAGGGGGGGTGGGGGGGGGGGGAGGGGGGTAAGCGGACACATTTTTTTTTTTTTTTTTGGTCTCGAAATTTCATAATTTGACATTTTTTGTCGTTGGGGGGGGGGTAAGGTCACCTTATTTAGGTTAGCCGTGGGTATAATTTTTTTTTTTTTTTTTTTTTTTTTTTTAAATAATAAAAAAAAAAAAAAAAAAAAAAAAAACCCAAAGGGGGGGGGGGGGGGGGGGGTTACATACATAAAAATACCAAAGGGGGGGTTTGAACCCCCAAACCCCCCCCCCCCCTGCGTACGCCCTGTCGCCGGTATATTGGTATTAAACAGTTTAATGAATCGATGAGTTTTGCAGGTGCATAAGTAGGCCTATGTCCTATGTCCTATTTCAATCTATATTACTAATACCACTAATCGCCGCGGGGGGTCCAAACGGGTACAAAACGGTTCCTCAAAAACGCCTTTCCCCGACCCCGCCCGCCTCCGCCGTGGCGCGGGGAGGGCGGCACAATTCCACGAGGCCTGTCTCCCGTAACCCGCGTGCCACGTCGACCCCGCGATCGACGTCCACGCCGTTAAACGCGGTTTCGGGGCGGCCGGGGAGGACGGGCGGACGAGAGCACGGCGGGCGTCGTGGATTGCGAGGAGGCGACGAACCCGCGAGAGCGAGTCCGCAAGGCGTGCACCCGCCCTCTGTCTAATTATCAAAGAGAGACGAAGAGACACACGATGGACGGGAATCCACTCGCGTCAACGGGTGTAGCAAGTCTCATCGTAAAAGGATGCGGCGTATCCCGAGTAAGACCTCTTGCTATAGGATTCGCTTTGTAGCATGTAAGAGAAATACACATTAACAGACGACTCACCCGGGTGATGGGATGTAGCCAATATGTACGCTCAACGGGTTGAGCTGACCCGTGTTATGCGTCTTTCTATAGGATATGCTTTGTAGGCCAGGCGCCCACAGTGTACGTGTATTACACGCTCTCAGGTCACACACATGCACACACCAAAGTCGATTCGAGTCGAGACGATTGCGACAACTGACGCAAACCATGGACCTATTTTCACGTAAAATCTTTACTCTGAAAATAATTATACAAATTCTGTGATCTATTCCAACATAATCATAGTCTAAGCTTCTGTTTTATTGGTCTTTTCATGAAAACTACATCGAAATCACAACAAGAATAGCGCAAATAGATCTGTGATAGTACGCCTTCACGTGACAGTTCAGTTGCAAACTGCCTGAGTCCACAGTGTATTGCCACGGCAGCTGAGCTCTGCTGTCGGCGGTGCTGTCGGAGCTGAGTTTGTGAGCATGGAGTAGCGGTGACCGGAGTAGCCAGGTCTGTCCGTGGTGTGAGGAGAGTCTAAACAAACACTTTGAAATTGCTATCATTGCCCCGATTTCAATATAGTTTCGTGAATAGATGTATGAAACCTGGGCTTGGATTGTGATTATTCTGGCCATGTATAGTTGTATACTGAATTTCGATAATCATTTTAGTAAAGTTTTCACAAGAAAATCAGACGGTCGTCATGGTCGTTTAAAAACATGATAATACTTTTAGTGTGATACAGTTCTTGCATCAAATCAATTTTTAAAGTATGGGGGGGGGGGGTCAGGTAACTCAAAGCGATTTGAGTGCACGCGTGGTGTCCACGGGTACAAAGGGCTGAACCCCCGAAAGCTCAGGGGTTTTAGGCATTTAATTACGGTCAGATGAGCATTTTTTTAATGCCTTATTTGTGACACTGGCAGGTCGATCACTAATTGGCGTGGGGTCCATAGTAGAGTTGCGTACCAACTACGCTGAGCTGAGAATACGCTGGCCTACGTTACTATACCCTGAGGGACGCAAAAAAGTACGCAAGATGGACGCAAACAATTTAATATGTTTAACAAAATTCGCGTACTTTCGGCGTAGAAACTTGACGCAGAAAGTACGCCTTTTTTTACGTAACACTACGCTACTAAACTGAACAAACTGCATCTTTAAATGAATTAATGAAAAATTAGCCCAAGAAAAATGAGCCCCCGAAAGATAAAAAAAAGTAGCCCCCCAAAATTTTCCCAAAATTTGATATAGATCGAGTCCCCGAAAAAAAAAATCTTTCACTGGATTCTACGCTCACAGTCCCACACACAGTCGAGTCAATTTGTGCACAAACCGTCCGATTTTTCGCGTAAAATCTTTACTTTGAAAATAATTATACACATTTTGTGAACAATGCCAACATAATCATAATCCAAGCCTCTGCATATGTAGTCTTTTCATGAAACTACATTGAAATCACAACAATAATAATGCAAATAAATAGTAATTATCGAGATCCTATCTGACATAGTTTGTTTTACGATGCGCCATTCATGGTCAAACAGCATATATTATAAAAATTCTCTATATAAAGATAAACTAAATTTTTTTGGGATAGCACATAGGCCTCTATCTATCTATCTATTTGGCCCCCTCCCCTAGAATCCCGTGGATTTTCCACGGGTCCTGCTAGTCTATATTACTAATACGCAAAATCGCCGCGGGGGGTCCAAACGGGTACAAAACGGTTCCTCAAAAACGTCTTTCCCCGACCCCGCCCGCCTCCGCCGTGGCGCGGGGAGGGCGGCACAATTCCACGAGGTCTGTCTCCCGTAACCCGCGTGCCACGTCGACCCCGCGATCGACGTCCATGCCGTTAAACGCGGTTTCGGGGTGCCGGGGAGGACGGGCGGACGAGAGCACGGCGGGCATCGTGGATTGCGAGGAGGCGACGAACCCGCGAGAGCGAGTCGGCAAGGCGTGCACCCGCCCTCTGTCTAATTATCAAAGAGAGACGAAGAGACACACGATGGACGAGAATCCACTCGCGTCAACGGGTGTAGCAAGTCTCATTGAAAAAGCTGCGGCGTATCCCGAGTAAGACCTCTTGCTATAGGGTTCGCTTTGTAGCATGTAAGAGAAATACACATCAACAGACGACTCACCCGGGTGATGGGATGTAGCCAATATGTATCCTCAACGGGTTGAGCTTACCCGTGCTATGCGTCTTTCTATAGGATATGCTTTGTAGGCTAGGCGGACCTGCTGTGTGTACGAACGCACGTGTATAATGTTTGCGATGATTCTACGCTCACCGTCACACGCACAGCTCAGTCGGTTCGACTCTGATTCTATGATGATTGCCGTGATTTGTATATAGTTTACGTGAATAGAGGTATGCAAGCAGGGTTACTTTGGTATTAATCTGTCCATGTTTACTGAATTTTGAAAATCATTCTTCAAAGTAAAGGTTTCACAAGAAATTCATCGTATCGTAACTGACAGTTCAGTTGCAAGCTAGCTGCCGTGAGGCACGGGCAGTGCAGTGCGCCACTGCTGCCGAGCACTGTCGGAACTGTGACTGTGTGTGAGGTGAGGTGAGGTGAGCTGAGCTGAGCTATAGAGTAGACTCGACAACATTTTGAAATTGCTCTTATTGCCCTATTTCAATATAGTTTCGTGACTATAGAGGTATGAAACCTGAGCTTAGATTGTGATTATTCTGTCCATGTATAGTTGTATGCTGAATTTCGATAATCATTTTTCAAAGTAAAGTTTCCACAGTGTATTGCCACCGCAGCTGAGCGCTGCTGTCGGAGCTGAGTGTGTGAGCATGGAGTAGCCTACTCCATGCGGTGACCTGAGTAGCCAGGCCTGTCCGTGGTGTGAGGAGAGTCTAAACAACACTTTGAAATTGCTATTATTGCCCCGATTTCAATATAGTTTCGTGAATAGATGTATGAAACCTGGGCTTAGATTGTGATTATTCTGGCCATGTATAGTTGTATACTGAATTTCGATAATCATTTTTCAAAGTAAAGTTTTCACAAGCAAAGTAAAGTTTTCACAAGAAAATCAGACGGTCGTCATGGTCGTTTAAAAACATGATAATACTTTTAGTATGATACAGTTCTTGCATCAAATCAATTTTTAAAGTATGGGGGGGGGGGGTCAGGTAACTCAAAGCGATTTGAGTGCAGGCGTGGTGTCCACGGGTACAAAGGGCTGAACCCCCGAAAGCTCGGGGGTTTTGGGCATTTAATTACGGTCAGATGAGCATATTTTTAATACCTTATTTGTGACACTGGCAGGTCGATCACTAATTGGCGTAGGGTCCATAGTAGAGTTGCGTACCAACTACGCTGAGCTGAGAGTACGCTGGCCTACGTTACCATACCCTGAGGAACGCAAAAAAGTACGCAAGATGGACGCAAACAATTTAATATGTTTAACAAAATTCGCGTACTT